GAATATTTTTCAACTTTCAAAACTTCAGGACAAAATGAAAAAAGAAATAAGATGAACTCACTGAAGGTATCTTCTTCAGTTTCTCCGCTAATTCTTTCTGCATTTGTAAAGCCTTTTTAGCTTTGGCTAAGGCATCAAGAGAGAGACTTCCACCACTTTTCCCAGCAGCTGAAGAGCCATCTGTACTAGATCCAGTAACCTCATGAGATCTGGTAATACTATATGCTTTATTTTCAGCAGTAGAAATGGAAGGTACCTTCGTAGGAAGTGGGTGTCCAGTCTTTGGTAATGATGCCTGAGCAACACCCTTCAGGCATGGAAAAAGTAAACTTACATCAGTGTACACTTAAAAGTTTCGCAACAGGCTAGAAATTTAGACCAAAAAAAAATAGGCAACTTTTAATTAGAATATATCAACATAACTGCATTGAATCAGATACCAATATGCAAACATAACATTTTAATTTTAACAATATTCCGCATTATTATACATTTCAGATCCAATACTAACACATGATGCATTAGCTAATATCTCAACTTTCCAGCAATGCATAAGTAATCATATAGTCAAGTCAACAACAGTGAAGCATTATTTTAACAATAGGAAGAATTGGAAGACCAGTAAGTTCTCAATAAGCTAATCAAATAACATTCCACTTTCTACAAGCCTCAAATTAGCAGCAAATTTAAGAAGGCAACAATTATGACTCCCGCTATGTATTAAACGGAAGCACAAAGAAAGAACTAGGAAAAAGAAATTCATCAAACAAGTTTCACAACTTACGCACCAATAATAATTCCCCACAATTTCAAACAGAATGTAGATCATAATGCAACAATCACTTCTATAGTAATAGCAATTTGAAAAAAATGCATAATATCAAGGGAATTAGACGTTCAAATAGGTGCAAAACTGCATAAAAACAACAAAACAAGTTTAAGGTTCATACTCCAAATATTACCAAAATCCACAATCCAAATAAAATTAAAAACACAGAGAAACTTCAACAGATATAGAATAGATTCCATTAAAGTTGTTAATTTTGCTACTTACTTTTGTAGTATTGTTTTTTATTTCCTATAAATTTGCTTCAAAACAAAGGAAATTAGCAGAAAAAGTCATAACTAAATTCTAATTATAACATACTCAGTCTAAATGGAAGTAAAAAATTCATGTATTTTAATAGTTTTAATTCTTTAAAATTCTTATTTGCTTTTTCACTTTTGAAATCAAAATAAACTAACAATCGAGAAAACATCAAATCAATGAAGCAAACAAGAAAAGCAAATTTTAGAAAAAAAATTAAAATAAAAATTAGGAGACTCACATTTTGAACTGGATCACCACTATTGGCGGCATTGGAGAACTCAATTTCCTCTTCTTCTTTAGCCTTATCCCCAAATCTTCTCCTCTCTCTTTTTTCCTCTCTGTTTCCTTCTCCAACTTTAGCTCTCTTCTCTCCTCTCTCCTCACTCTCTTCTCTCTCTTTCCTCTTATTCTTAGCTTCAACTTCCTCATAAGAACTCTCACGATGCTTCCTATCTCGCGAACCCTCCCTCTCAAATGATCTCTCGCGTTCATCACGGCGCGATGAGGATGATTTATGATCCGATCGCCGGTGAGAGTCGCGGTGGTGGCTGCGGTGGTGCTTGTCGTCGCGGTCTCGGGACCGTTTGGTTGCGGGATTATCTTTCTCCATTTTTAGGGTTAGGGATTTTTGGGGAGGGTTTTGGCTCTGCCTCTCTTAAGGTTCTGTTCTATTTCTACCGTGTTCGTAGCGAGTTTCTCTAAATTATTGTAATCATATTAGCCGACGTCGATGAAGCCGTTAATCTACGATTTGGATTTGGCCCTTTAATAGGCCCATTATATTTTCTACATGGATGAAGATTTGGGCTCTTCTTTTTAATAGGCCAACGAGGCCCAAATCGGAAAAACAAAGTGGAAAACTGGTCTGTCTAAAATTACTTAATTCTGCTTTTAACAATGTCTCTCCTAACAAATGTCAGTTATTTTGTCTGAATATAATGTTTTAATTATCAGATATAGTTCTTAGATTTAACGCCTGCACCTCCTCCTCTAAAGGTAAATACTTGTTAATGTCAATTAAATTTCTTTTTTAAAAATAATTTTTATTTTAATTTTATTTGATTTATACAATTATTTTTTAATGATAACATTTAATAAATCTTAAATTTAAATTTTAATACGTGTAATTCTTCTTCCTATACTTAAGTTACAACATCTTTTATACCAATAAGTTTTTTATTTAATAAAATTATTTGATATATTATCACTAGAGTTTGTTAATTATACAAGTGAGGTTAAAAAAATTAATTTATTTTTTATTTTTTAATTAATATTTTATTTTTAATATATTTTTAAAAATATGTGTTATCCTATTAATCATGTTTGTGAATTTTTTTATTTAATTTTTTTTACTAAACTCAAGAAAAAAACAATTTATTATTAATTACAAAATTCTTTTTATAAAGATTATATTAAGAAATGTCTATAGACACTCTTTTAAAATTTTCTTATATAAAAATATTTTGAAATAAAATTAATAAATTATAGGCAAGATTTGATGCTTTAAATTAATATACTTTTTTTAAAAAACTAATAGTCTAAATAAAAAACGAAAGGAAAGAGAAAGATCATTATTCCGTAGCTTTTACTCGCAAGAGGCCCTAATAAATGCTCCTTTGTTGGTTTGTAATGCTTGGGCTTGGGCCAAATTGTTTAGGCAATTTGTCAGGGTTTGAAGGCTTAGTTAGGGATAAGTAATAAAATTTTCAATTTGAAGTTATTAAATATTATTTTATTTTAAAAAATATTATATAAATTAATTAAATTTAATTTAAAATTGACAATGATTATTATACTTACAAAATAAAACAATTATTTGGTACTGTTCTAGGAAATTTTCTAAATGCTAGAATAATATTTATTATATTATTTTTAATAAATATAATAAAAAATCAGCTAACGACAAATGCTCCATATTATTATTTGATAAAATGATAAAAGAAAATATATTATATTAAAAAGAAATTTAAAAATATTCAGAATTGACACCAAATCAGCCAACTAATTGATTGTTAGAAATAAAAAAGAAAAGTGATAAAAAACAAAATGGACAATGAACCCAAAATAAGGAAAAAAATCAAATGTTGACTTGACGTGGCGTCTTTTGATTGGTCATGTGTTAAAATTTTTGGTATTAAAATGAATCTGGCCGTAGAGGATGGAATTTTTATCCATTCTCTGTCTTTTACGCTTCAATAATGGTCGACTTTGAAAACGCGTTATTTTACATCACTCTGAAAGCGACAAGAGATCGACCGGCATGATTTGCATGTCTCAGTGGTGTCTTTTATTCTCTACGGAAAAAATTTTCTGTCCTCAACAAATTGACACAAAAAAAAAAAAAAATACAAACAAATTATCCAAACATCATTGTACATGATACAAGGCCGTGTTTGGATTTTTAAACTTTTTTTAAAAAACGATACATATTTAAAGATTATTGAATGTTCAAATATGATAAAAAATTTAAATTATATATGATTGTCGGTGAGGGTAAAACTTAGATTTTTTTTTTTTACATAAAATTTATGAAAATTTTTAATAAAAATGATCTAATAAAATTAAAAAATTTAAATAGATAAATGGATAGAGTTTAATAAAAAAATTAATAATATATAAAAAATAAAAATATCATTTATAATTCAAATTTAATAAGTACTCATTCAACAGTAAAATTTTTATTAAATTTTTAATAAAAATGCTTATCTTAAACATAAATCAAAATTTATTTATTTTTTTTCAAAATTTATACACTTGATCTATATATCAAAATTTTTTAATCTATCATTTTTATTTTCAATTTTATTTTTAATATTTTTAATAAAAAATTTTATAAATTTCATTTAAAAAATTTTATTTAAATTTTTTCTTGTTTCATGATAATTAAATTTTAAATGAATATAAAAAGAGAAAATGATGCATCAAAAGAATATGGGTTCAAATTATTTTCGAAAATGATTGATGCATTTTACATTCGAAGAGAAATTCAAAATTGGAATTTTATTTTCTTTCATGAGAGGAAAAGTTTATAAAGTATAATTATTGAATACATTGAACAATTTTGCATTATTTTGTTCTTTTTTAAGAAAATGAACATTACTATAACCAAATTTATAGTAAGTAATTTTCTTCTCAATTATCATGTTCATGCATGGATGTCAAGTAGTAGTAGTAATAGTAGTTAGTAGTAGTAGTAGTAGTAATAATAATAATAATAATTTTAAAAAATTATATATAATCAAGGCTCTTTTAGATTATAGTAATAGTAGTAGTAGTAGTAGTAATAATAATAATAATAATTTTAAAAAATTATATATACTCAAGGCTTTTTTAGATTATATATGAATCAAATAAAGAAAACTTATCACATAGGACATGAAACATGTGATAATCACTAATAAAAGATTAATTCAATTAATAGCATCATTCTTTTCGATACGAGTGATTTAGAGTTTGAGTTTAATCAATAACCTTTTGTTGAGATTATTTTAAATATATAACTTATAACCAATATTCTTTAAGCTAATATATATCATTTATTAAATTAAATATTTGAATATTTATTTATGTTTTTTGCTTTTATTCTCTTAATTAAAGAAAAAAACTCACTAGAGTCAAGAAAGAAAAATTTTCTTTTATAAATTAGGATTACATTCCTAATCTCGCACCAGATGGATATAGACATTTTAATTTGGCCTAAAAAAAATTAGACCCAACTGCTTACTTTAAAAAAAGAAAATATATATATATGTAAAAACAACAAAACAAACATGGCCTAATTCCTAGACTTACTTCTCTTGCCACTTTTTTCTCTTGCACCAACCCAAGGACACAACTGTTAAACTAAACCACCAAACGTACGACACAAGCTTTTAACGTTCACACGGAAGGAAGGTGAGACTAAGCCGCCCTTCATAGCTGTCCTCCATTTCTACTTCAATCTTCAATTACGTTTTTGCCTATTCGAACGCTTTTGAGTCAACTTATCTACTTTCCAATCCAAATATTAATTAATTTTCATTTGTGTTGGCCTTTTCTATTCAATTCCATGAACTTTCCAAAAACAAACGTTGATCGTAACGTAACTTTCAACAGCTACAAGTTGTGGAACTCATTAATTCGACATCTTTGTTACTTTCTTTCCTTCTTCAAGTTGGGTTTTTTGGCAGTCTCTTTTCAATCTTTCCTTTGGTTACTGTCAGGTGACTTTTTCTGATTACCCTTTTGTTTATCATTGATTTTTGTTCATTGGGTTGTTACCAAATTGGGTCTATTGGTGAAGTTGCAAAGCAGTTGTGAGCTTTTTCATTTCGTATCTCAGGTTAGCCTGTTTTGTTGTAGTAGTTTCTTGTCTACTGCAATTTCTAGTTTTTGCCATTGGTGTCTTGATCATCTCTAGTTTTTGCCATTTCTACTGCAATCATTATTGTCTTTTCTAATCACTTGTCAATATTCAAGTTTCTGTCATGGAGAATCCTGGGAATTTTGGATTGATTGTTTGGATTTCATCTATGTTTTTTTTAGTTTGTCTCTCACTTGGATATAACCCTGTAGATAACTATTTGATACACTGTGGATCCTTTACAAATATATCAGTGGGTGATAGAGTATTTGTAGCTGATAATTCCAGTTCTTCATCTTATACTCTTTCAACCCCAGAGCATATTTTTGCCAATTCTAGTTCAAATTCTATCTCACTCTACTATGATTCAGCTCTGTATCAAACTGCTAGAATTTTCAATGGACCTTCCCATTACAGTTTTTCAATAAAAGAACAAGGAAGACACTGGATTCGTCTTCATTTCTTTCCTTTAGTATTCGAAACGTACAATATGAGCAAGGCAAAATTCTCTGTTTCTGCTCAAAACTTTACTCTTATCAGTGAACCTCAGTTAGGGAATGGTTCTGTTGTTAAGGAATACAGCTTGAACATTACTTCTAATAAGCTGGTTCTTACTTTTACCCCTTCTGCCAATTCATTTGCTTTCATCAATGCCTTGGAAGTTTTCTCAATTCCTGATAATCTCATTCCTAAAGAAGCCAGAACAATTGATTCAAAAGGTGGGAACAGAAATCTGTGGGAGCAGGCACTGGAGACAGTTGCAAGGGTGGATATGGGAAATACAACAGTGCTTCCACAAAATGATACCTTGTGGCGACTTTGGGTTTCAGATGATGCATATCGGACTGACAAGAATCTAGGATCATTTGTGTCAAATGTCAAAGCTGTTAATTTTACTGGAGGATTGGTGACTGAAGATTTTGCTCCTGCTTCTGTATATGGCACCGCGACTATGTTGAACTCCTCCATAGATCCTAATCTTAATGCGAACTTGACATGGAGCTTTGATGTTAGCCCTGGGTTTGATTATCTTGTTCGGCTTCACTTTTGCGATATAATGAATAAAACTACTCTGGAAAGCATCTTTGTGGAAATTTTTGTGAATACGCATTCAGCTGGTCATCTTAATCTTGGTTCTCAGACATCAAATGTTTTAGGTGCCCCATATTTTATGGATGTGTGCACAAGGGCAAGTGCTAGTGCTAAGCTTAATGTAAGCGTTGGTCCATCTAATATACTCCATTACCCAACTGTCATTCTCAATGGTTTGGAGATCATGAAAATAAACAATGCTAGGGGCAGTCTTGATGATCCTGATGTTGTTTCCTCGAGAAGGTCCAAGATGAAAGTCGTGGTTATAGTTGGCTTGGCTGTTGGATCATTTGTTGTTGTTGTTTTGGCTGCAGTTATCTTCCTTTTTTGCAGAAGAAGAAAACCAGTACTGGGGAAAGAGGAGCACTTTTCCATGAATAGGGGACGAAAAGTTCATACCACAGGAAGTAAATACTCTAATGGGACTGCCATATTTTCCAGCTCAAAAATTGGCTATCGCTTTCCTTTCATGGCAATTCTAGAGGCCACTGATAATTTTAGTGAAAATTTGGTAATTGGGGTTGGTGGTTTTGGTAAGGTATATAGAGGAGTATTGAGAGATGAAACTGAGGTTGCAGTCAAGAGGGGAGCTCCTCAATCAAACCAAGGTCTTATTGAATTCCAGACTGAGATTGAAATGCTATCTCAGTTCCGACACCGCCATTTAGTATCATTGATTGGTTACTGTGATGAACAAAATGAGATGATCATAATTTATGAGTACATGGAGAATGGAACACTCAAGAATCATCTATATGGCTCAAGTCTTCCTGGGTTGAGTTGGAGACAAAGGCTTGAGATATGCATTGGATCAGCCAAAGGACTTCACTATCTTCATACCGGTTCAGCTAAGAAAATAATACACCGCGATGTCAAGTCTGCCAACATACTACTGGATAAGAATTTCATGGCTAAAGTTGCTGATTTTGGTCTTTCCAAGACTGGTCCTGATATTGATCAGACGCATGTGAGTACAGCAGTGAAAGGAAGCTTTGGATATCTTGATCCAGAGTACTTGACAAGGCAAAAACTAACAGAGAAATCAGATGTCTACTCCTTTGGGGTTGTTTTGCTTGAAGTCCTTTGTGGAAGGCCTGTTATCGATCCATCCCTTTCGAGAGAAAAGGTGAATTTAGTTGACTGGGCAATGAAGTCTTGCAGGAATGGGAAATTGGAAGAAATTGTAGATCCTAGTCTTGTTGGTCAAATAAAACCGGCCTCTTTAAGGAAGTTTTGGGACATAACTGAGAAATGCTTGGCAGAACATGGCATTTATCGGCCTTCAATGGGAGATGTTCTATGGAACTTGGAATCTGCATTTCAAATAAATGAAGAAAAATCCAATCAAAACGGTGAATTATCTTCTCAAATCAGCCATGTCAGTGACTTGGAAACGAGTCTAGAATTCAGCAGAGCCGGTGGTTTAGACGACCTTGCTGGTATTTCAATGAGTACAGTTTTTGCTCAAATGGTGAGAGAGGAAATGAGGTAGATGAACATTACATACTGTACATGAAGAGGTGAATTCCACTACATTTCTCTTATTTCTGCACTTCACCTTGCAAAAATATATCTCAATTAGCTTTATCCCAAGGCTGCAAATTCTTTAAAAATCAGTTAGCTAGATTTGATATTTGCATGCAATAGTCATCTTTGTATTGTTTTTCTACAATAGTTATCTTGTTTTTTTTTTTTCTTCTACTCCAAAATATTATGTCCAATTTTCTGTTTCTATAAGATGAAAATCATATAAAATTTTCAATTTCTCAATAGGTTCGAGCTAGTATTTTTCTCGACATTGTCTCTAATTAATTTAAAAGAATAAAAGCCAAAATTTATTATTAAAAATAAAAGGTAATATTTTTTTATTATATTTGGAATAATAAAAATATTACAAATGCAGAACAAAAATTCCGCAGGAAGATCAATTTGTCTAGAGCAAAACATTATATACAATGATTGTTGTACAATTGATTAATAATAATTTAAAATTATGTAAAATTAATTAAAATTTTTTACAACACTATAATTATAAATGATGAATTTTTATATAATATTTTATTATGATTAGATAATTATAATTTATAAAATTATAAGTGATATATTTCCCTCGAGCAAAAAGTAAAACAATAAAAGCATGAATTACAATAATAAATGATACAATCAAAGGATCTTATACGCAATACACCGACTATACATAACTTTGACCACGTTCTTGGAAAAAAAAAAGAAGACTTCGACAATGATCAACATGATCAACGGTTGTAAAAACTTCCATTGCGCTAATTATAGCTGGCAACGCAGACGAATCAGGAGCTGCCAACGTTACAAGGGTAGACTATTACCGTCCTACAGACATTCGTTGGCTTCAACTCTCACCATTTTCTTACAAGTCGTGAGATATTAAAAATAATGATACAGAGTTATAATTGTAAAATTAAAATTAATAATAAAATATATTTTAAAATATAAATATAAAAATAATGAAGTGACTTATAATTTTAAAAAATTGTTAAAAGCATTAAATTAAAGTTTATATATAATAAAAAATTTAAATTATTTATTATTTTATGAATAAATGGTTAAAAGTTATTAAAATTATTTTATGTCAAATAACTGTTATATTAAAAAAATTAATAACAGTAATATATTTACAAAATTAAAATTTAATAAAGTAATATATTTTTTTTTTTGCATTTAGTTTTAAATATTATAAATTATAAAAAAAAACTTTGAAATATTTAATGTTAAGAAATAATACTTATAACAATTATAAATATTATTTACCAAAATAATATTAAACATAAGAAATATAAAATATAAAAAATAAACTAATTTAATAAATACAAAATAAAAATAAAAGGCAAAAATGATTTAGAAACTAAAAATATTAATAATTGGTGATACGGTCAAGGATCCAGTGCCATGCCTTATTGGACCCTTAAGCCATCGGTCGAAAACTATTGATCCAATACTGTTGGATACTACACTGCTTGATATCCAGATGGATTGAAACGGTGGAATTGCAACAAAATGGTGCTAAATCTCACCACATGAGGGCAACAATCAAATCCAAACGAGGCTTAAGAATTTAACACCATATCAACTATATAAACTAATTATTATTTATACTATTAATAAAAAATTATTTAATATAATATCAGTGAAAATTTTTAATTTTACAAACGAAATTAATAAAATAACACATTATAAAAATATATATCACATTATTAACTTTATTTATAAAAAAATTCCCTACCAATATATTTCATATTTTCTCTTAATAAAATCTATACTAAAAAGCAACCACTGAAATCAGTCTCTCTTGTTAAAATATATATTAGTTTTAAATCCGTACCATACATGAATAACGATTATATATATACAACTCAATTATATATAATATAATTAATAAATTTTATATAAAAATAAAAAATTTCAGTGTAAATTAATGAAAAAATAAAAATATTATAAATTAATATGTACCTATATAATATAAAGAAAAATGCTTTGCATCATATCTCATCTAATAGTGATATTTATACAAAATTAAATAATGTCTATTCCAAACCATAGAAATATATTCCACTTAAAATCAGTCTTTTGCAAAAACTTTTGTTTGGTGCGCCTCTTGGTTTAGTGTAAGACATCTAGAACTTATAATAACAATAGCAAACCTTTCACTAAGTGGTATCCATCCTTATATTATATTCATTAAGATCAAAATAGTTCAAATTGAATTTGCATTATTTAACGAATGGGATTGAAACTATATATTACATATTAAATATAGATAAAACTATAAATGAAAAGTAAATAGGAGAGTAAAACCTTGGGCCAAATTCTAATACACTTCAACTTTAACTACAAAATTTCACCCTATTCACATCTATTATTAAGCATGAAGAAAAATCTGACAAAATTTTCAAGGATTAAAAATTAAAAAGAGATAAAATATATGAAATTATTCCATTCAAAAGTAAAAAAAAAAAACTAATATTGAAAATGAATAGATAAATAGAGTATGAATGTGTATAAAAAAAATGAATAAAAGAGAAAGAAAATCAATAGACAAACATGATAAAGAAAAAAGTTTATGAACATAAAAAAACATGTAACTTGGTAATCAAAATTTTCTTAATCATAATGAAGTCAATACATTTGAAGGGTTAATCTCCTAGTACTCTTAGCATATAGGATTCACTATTTATAATAAAAAATTTGAGAGATTTTTATAAATTGAAAGTAATTTATGCAAAAAAAATTATAATGGGTTATTAATTATTTATGTAATATATCTTTTATTATGAAAAGTTTACACTTAATATTTTGAAAAATTCTTGTAGGACAATAAATTATACCAATTGTAATTTATACTCATATAGAAAGAAATATGAAAATATGTTTCCAAGTAATTACACTTTTATTTTAGGTTTGAATTTTTAGCATTTTATGCCTTATATATTTATTTAGGTTAAAAAATACATAAATTATTTCTTAATTAAATACTAAAATCACGGTTATTAAATAGTCAATTCTTTCAAAGCTTATTTCTTTTTTATAGTATACATGCTTAAAATTTAAAATTAAGAATTGAGTTTGGTTGAAAATGATTTAAGATAATTTAATTATAACACATTTATAAAAGGTAAAAAAATTGGATATTTATAAGAAAATAAATAACTTAATTTAGCCAAATAAATGTCTTTTAAATTAATCAAATATATATGAAGTCAAATCAAAATAATTAAGTGAAGGATATGTGGCAATTGTTCAAAACGATCAACATGTCAAAAAAACAGATTATTCACATTGGATTTTTTTTCTTTTTTACCAAAAATTTTTGTTTTTATAAATTTATATAAAATGGAATACACGACTTACTGATCATAACTCATATACATAAAATCTAACATTATAATGTATGATTAATTTTATAACAATAACAAAAACAAAAATCTAAGATTATTATGTATCATTATTCACATCCATTATTTAGTTAGATATCATATTTAATCAAATATGAATATATCAAATAATTGATTAAGGAATCAACTATTGACCATAATTATAGTGGTTATTAAATTTTTTGTAATATTTTTTATTAAATTTTAATAGAAGTTCTTTGAATCATTAAAAAAATGTTAATGACCGTAATTTTAGTATTTATTAATTTTTTGAATTATTAAGAAATTCTTTAATTATAATGTAATTTAGTTTTAATTTATAATTTAGGATATTTTATTGAAAATAAAAGGTAAGTCAAATGAAAATTAAAAAGAAAATAAATATAATTAATGTATTGAAATATTTTAAAATTTTTATGAAATCAAATCAATTCATATCAATTTTAAAAAATAAATATAAATAAATATAATTAATATAAGACACATGACAATTGATAAAATTTACCCACATATCAATATTATAGACTATGCATATTAAACATTTATCTTTTTTACCAAAAATTTTTGTTTTTATATATTTATATAAGGTTTCTCACAATTTTTTTAACAAATTCCTCTTTTACTCTGGTCAAGCCATCCCCTTTCACCATGTAATGCATGCATCAAGCACTTTCTAATTAATGATATACTCTATTTTTCCCATTTTATATGCTTATGTTTGACTTTTTTAGTAAAAAAAATTTAACTTTGATTATTATTTTTTAAAATATCATATCAAATTAAAATTTTAAAAAAATATATGTAGACACCCTATTTTATCCGGAGATTTTTCAAAATTCATGGGGCTTCGAATTTTAATTTTGATTGTACAATTAGGCCTTAATTGAAAATGTGAATTTTGGGCCCAAAGTTTAAGTCCTAAATTTTATTTGTATTTTAATTTTTTGGTTTAATTTTTATTTTTTGGTCAAAAGAGTCAAAGTCAATTGGTAAAAAAAAATAAAAACAAAAAAAGGGTAAAAAATAAAAAAAATGTGGGATTTCGCATAAAAAAATCTTGGATTCAATTCAACTCTTAGATTTTATTTTAGATTTTAACTTTAATGGTTAAATAATTTTGGAAAGACTTTTGACTCAATTTATTGAAAAAAGGGAATATTACTAAAAGAATAAAATTAAGAGAGTAATCCTAGATTCAGTTGAATTAAGTCCTTCCAAATCGAAAGGGATTTGATCCCTATATAAGGACCTTGAATCTATAATCAAAGAGGTCTAAAAAGCAATTCAATTCAAGTTCAAATGGAGGTTATTGAAAAGAGAGAAAATTGGGGCAAAATTTTAAATCAACAAGGAATAAGCAATCAAGTAAAAAAACATTTGCAAGAAGATCCAGTTAGAGTTTTTAGAAAGAAGGCTAAGATTTATAGTAGTAAGCATTAGTTTTTAAAGGTGAAAAATTGTTGAAACCCGTGATCCATTGAGGTAATGTTTGCTTTTATTTTTTATTTTTTGTGATTTTTACATAACTTTTATAATATTTAATTGCTTACTCTTATATTTATTGCATGGTATTTATTTTTGTATAAATTTACATGACTAATATTATATTTGCGAGATAATTTATTTGCCTAATATATTTGTTTGCATGATTAATATATTTATTTGTGTGATTTATTAATATATTTGCTTGATTATTAATATATTTATTTTTAGGATCATATTTAATTTGATTGCATGATTATTAATATATTTAATTGCTTGATTATTAATATATTTATTTGCATGATTATATATTTAATTGCAAGTTTATTTGCATGATTATATATCTAATTGCTTGTTTATTTGAATGGTTTATATATTACAATTTGCATGATTATATATTTAATTGC